CCCAAGGGCATAAACGAATTATGCCCTTGCAAGGGCGTAAAAGAGTATTTATGCCCTAAAGGGCGTAATTTTTATGCCTTTGTTTTACCAGTGCAGGCCCAGGACGCAGCCCGCGTGGTGCCAGGCTTGCTAGAGCGCCATAGCAGACTGATTCCGAGAGTCGTTCCCGTCGCTCTGTCTCACTCGCACCTAAACGGGACGCCCCATGAGTGCGAGAGAGACGGAGCGACGAAAACGACTCTCGGAATGAGGCGGCAGGGCAGCCAGGGCCGGCGAACAAGCTAAATCTCTCGTGACAGGGCCGTGTGGGCCGAACGGGCGCAGCGCTACGCCGCAACGTGGAACGCCGAGGCAAGCCGAGGCTGGCCAAGGTTTCCAAACTATGGTCGGGCACCGAAGAGCCGAAGCGAAGCAAAGCGAAGAGGGTCGGGGGCGAGCGCCACACAGTGGGCCGGAAGGCCGGTGGAGGCGGACAAAACTCTAGACGCGTTTTGAGCTCCAGAGTCGCTAAATGGGCCTCGAATCGAACGTGTGACCCCACCAATGGATTGCTCTCCGAACGAGGAATCCATTGATGGGGTCACACGCTCGGTTCGAGGCCTGCTTAGCGACTCTGGAGCTCAAAACGCGTCTAGAGTTTTGCCCGCCTCCACCGGTCTTCTGGCCCACTGTACACCGCGCCGCGCGGCCGTCCGTCATGGCAGTCGGCGGGCTAGTTCGGAACCGCCGTGAGTGCGAGAGAGACGGAGCGACGAAAGCACTGTTCGGACAGGCCTTCCCCGTTCTTCCCTTTCGATCACCACACCGCTCCGCTCCGCGCCTCGCCACCCACTAGCCATACCATCAAGGCAAATGGAGAGACGAGAGAGACGAGAGAGACGAGACGGTACCGCTCGAGGCGCCACGCCACGGTTTGATAATTCGCCGTGGATCCGGTAGAGCGCGCCCGGCAGGCCGGCCGGCCGGCAGCGGCCAGTATGTAGCGCAAGGCGGCGGCGCGGCGGGGACGGGGAGGACCACGGGGAGGATGACGGGGGAGCGTGCCGAGTTTTACGACTGAGAAACCCGCATCTTGACCACCGCCTCGGCCGCCTCGGTTCGCCTCGCCGAGCGAAATGCAGGCCGGCCCACGTGCCACGTGGACGTCGAACGGACGGACGGACGGACAGACAGACAGACAGACAGACAGGCGGACACGCCTCGCGGACATCCGCGGACAGCCAAGGACAGGCGGAGGACAGCCGAGGCAGCGGGCGCAGCTGGCGCGCTAGGCCGAGGACGCCGAGGACGCGGGCGTCTCAGATAAACGGTCTGCATCGAAGGGACTCCGCCGCGCGCCGCGCACGGCCGCGCCTATGGCCGCGCCGCGCGGGTCCACTCCCACGTCGGTCTGTGGGCATCGCCGTCGTCCTGTCTCTCTCGCACCCATGCTTCTGTTGTCACCCATTTTGGAAATACTGTAGAGAGAAGTGCAAAGCATCACAAGTGAAAAATGAAATGTCGAATGCAAAATCTACCTCTTAATAATAAATACGGAACGACAACCCTGAGTGCGAGAGAGACAGAGCGACGAAAACGACTCTCGGAATCAGTCTGCAGCGCAAAGTGGGAGGGGCCGCCTCCGCGATGCGGACTCGGCTCACCGTGTCTCGCGGAAGCGAGAAGAAAAGCGGAAAGAGAGGGGGCTTATTTTTCCAGGTTTCGCTTCTCTTGGCTTTTCTCTCGCAGCCGAGACATCTTTGGACAGTCTTGGACAGCCCTAGACAGACAGACCTAGACACTAGACAGCCCAAGACAGCCCTAGACAGCCCTCGCCAGTCCTAGACAGCTCTAAACAGACCTAGACAACCCTAGACAGCCCTAGACAGCCCTAGACAGCCCAAGACAGCCCTCGATATTCCTAGACAGCCCTAGACAGCCCTAGACAGCCCTAGACGGCAATCCGTGTGGTTAGCCACTGCACGGTGCCGGTGCCTCTCTTCACTGGTTTCCGTACAGTGGCACCGCAGCCGGTGGTGCGGTGCTGTGCTTGTTCGTCGCTGTTTGAAAAAACCGCATGCGAACCGGGGATTTGAACCCGGGGCAGTGCTGCCACGTAAGTGGGCAAAAATATCCCGTCTACACCAGTGTTTAAAGGGTTGCCAACACGTTCCAGATCTTGGCTGCGCCTTGTCTGCCGGGCTGAGGTTGGCAACCCTAGACACTGGTGCAGGGTGAGACTTTTCGCCTGCTTATTGTGGCGTGGCAGCACTGCCCCGTACCCGGCAAGCCCAGGAGCCGAGGGCTTTCAGCAGCAGACGTCTGGCGCGCGGTCCCAGACAGACGCACAGTGGACCAGAAGACCGGTGGAGGCGGACAAAACTCTAGACGCGTTTTGAGCTCCACAGTCGCTAAGCAGGACTCGAACCGAACGTGTGACCCCATCAATGGATTGCTCTCCGAACGAGGAATCCATTGGTGCGGTCACACGTTCGGTTCGAGCCCTGTTTAGCGACCCTGGAGCCCTGTTTAACGACTCTGGCGCTCAAAACGCGTCTAGAGTTTTGTCCGCCTCACCGGTCTTCTGGCCCACTGTGAGACGCCCCGCTGCACCGAGGGACTGCAGGTCGTGTGCGTCGCGGCCTCTCGGCGGCCTCGCCCAGGCTCGGACTGCCCCCAAAAGGCCCCAGCGGATAAGTCCGCAAAAGGCCCCCGATCATCATGTTTTTACCCTTCATGACCAACTTTTTGAGGCTACCGCTCCCAAACTAGTTGCGGTCAATAGCCTTCCCGATACAGGGCATGAAAGAGTAGGGTCTTAAGAGCACTAGGGCGTCGAGGGAGGCCTTTTACGGCGACTAGATTGGACACAGTGGCCGCCCAAAGTCAGCAAAATCAGCAAATTTCCGAGATTCGACCACTTTTTGACCAACTTAGTCGGAAAATCGTTGCGGTGAAAGCCAAAATTGTTGTGGTCAACGTCTTCCCGATACAGGGCATGAAAGAGTAGGGTCTTAAGAGCACTAGGGCGTCGAGGGAGGCCTTTTACGGCGACTAGATTGGACACAGTGGCCGCCCAAAGTCAGCAAAATCAGCAAATTTCCGAGATTCGACCACTTTTTGACCAACTTAGTCGGAAAATCGTTGCGGTCAAAGCCAAAATCGTTGTGGTCAACGTCTTCCCGATACAGGGCATGAAAGAGTAGGGTCTTAAGAACACTAGGGCGTCGAGGGAGGCCTTTTACGGCGACTAGATTGGACACAGTGGCCGCCCAAAGTCAGCAAAATCAGCAAATTTCCGAGATTTGACCACTTTTTGACCAACTTAGTCGGAAAATCGTTGCGGTGAAAGCCAAAATTGTTGTGGTCAACGTCTTCCCGATACAGGGCATGAAAGAGTAGGGTCTTAAGAGCACTAGGGCGTCGAGGGAGGCCTTTTACGGCGACTAGATTGGACACAGTGGCCGCCCAAAGTCAGCAAAATCAGCAAATTTCCGAGATTCGACCACTTTTTGACCAACTTAGTCGGAAAATCGTTGCGGTCAAAGCCAAAATCGTTGTGGTCAACGTCTTCCCGATACAGGGCATGAAAGAGTAGGGTCTTAAGAACACTAGGGCGTCGAGGGAGGCCTTTTACGGCGACTAGATTGGACACAGTGGCCGCCCAAAGTCAGCAAAATCAGCAAATTTCCGAGATTTGACCACTTTTTGACCAACTTAGTCGGAAAATCGTTGCGGTGAAAGCCAAAATTGTTGTGGTCAACGTCTTCCCGATACAGGGCATGAAAGAGTAGGGTCTTAAGAATACTAGGGCGTCGAGGGAGGCCGTTGGCCGCAATTAGATCGGACGCAGTGGCTGCCCAAGATCAGCGAAAACGGCTACTTTCGTCCTACTAGGACTCTTTGATCAACTTTGTGACGTTACTGGTCCCAAACCTGAAAGGCCCCGGCAGATTTTTCTGCCTGTCTGCCCTGGCCAGTCCGAGCCTGGCCTCGCCCCGCGCGCCGAGCCGTCATTCGTCTTGCCGACGTACAAACAAATAATAATAAATAATAAATAATTCAAATTGAGACTGCCGGCCGGGCCGGGCGGCTCCGCAGGCTCGGCAAGGCGCGGCACCGTGCCCGGCCCGCGGCCCTCGGCCCTCGGTGCGCACCGCGGCCTGCGAGTCACGTCACGGGGCTGTAAGCTCGGCGACCAACAGTCGGTGCACCGTAACTGCCGCGCCGCCGATGGCGAGTTGCGGGCCTTTCGCATGGCCGCGCTTACGCAGAAGCGACTGTTCGGCATAAACAGCCTCACCCCCGGCCGGCCCGGCCGGCCCGGCTGCCCCCAGCACCGCGCGGCAGCATGGCGGCAGCTTCCAAGAGGCACACAATGGCGAGCCGAGGGCCGTTCCGGTGGCCAGGGCGGCCGCGGGGCCCGCCAGTCCGCGAGGCCGCGAAGCGCGCGCCCGGGGAAAACCAGGGGAAAACGGAAAAAACATGCCTCGCTGGGAGTCGAACCCGCGCCCCCAGCCGGTCAGCTGGGAGCACGAGGAGTAGTGACAGTGCTGTCACATGGAAAGATTCCACGATGCGCCAGAGTCCAAAGCGTTGCAAAGCCGAGCCTGCCACGAAATGTCTTGGCTTCGCTATCGAGGCGTTGCCAACAGGCAGAGGTTGGCAACCCCATCAAGTGCGTAAAAGGAGCTTTTCGAATTTTCGCCTTCTTATGTGGCAGCACTGCGTGTCGAATGTCCGGCTAGTGAGTGAAGAGTCCGACGGGGAATGTTGAGGACGCTGAACCGCGTGTTGTTGTGAGAGAGCGCCTGTGAGGTAGGCAAGCCCGCCGGGCTCCGGGGGCAACGGGACTGCCTACCTCGCAGGCGCCCCGAGGTAGGCAAGCCCGCCCGGCTCCGGGGCGCAACGGGACTGCCCACCTCGCAGGCGCCCGGCCCCGCGCACGGCGCACGGCCACGGCACCGGCCGGCGGGCCGCGGCAGGGTGGCGGCCTGGCGCGCGGTGACGCGGTGACTCACCAGGTAGTACTCGATGGGCTTCTCCCTGGCCTTGTTGTAGGACTTGCACAGCTCCGTGGCGCGCAGCGCGTGGGCGATGTGCAGCGCGGACGCGTCGAAGCGGCCGTACTGGTAGCCGGCGGAGCTGGACTCGTGCGGCATGCTGTTGTTGTTGTTGACGTGGTTGGCGTGGTGCGCCTGCTGCTGCACGCCCATGCCGGGCGGCACCGGCGGCCCGCCATGGCCGTTGAGGTGCGGCCGGATGTTGAGGGCCTCCGCGTCGAACGTGCCCTTGCCGGAGCCGCGGATCTGCTCGTTGACGAAGTTGGAGGAGCGCGGCACGTTGAGCGCCGAACGTATGCCCACCGAGGAGCCGTCCAGGTGGCCGGGCCCCGTGGTGGGCACGTGGCTGCGGCAGTAGACCTCCTGGTCGTCGCCGCGGTGCTGGTTGTTGTAGTACGTCTTGAGCGTGAGCTTGGTGCCGCACGCCACGCACTTGAAGCACCCGCTGTGGAAGAACGTGAAGTCCTTGAGCGGGCCCACGCGGTCCACCTGGTACACGGTCTGGCCGCAGCGCAGACACGTGCTTTCGTAGAAGTTCATGCGGTACATGGTGGCGGCGGGGCTGCGACTACACTGGTCCTGTCACTGGTGCCGCGGCATGGCGATGGCCCTGGCGAAGGCCCTGGCCGGGGCGAGCCGGGGGCCGCGAAGGGCGGCTCGGTGCTCAGGGCATGGCGCTCGGCGCGCCGCCACCGCCACGAAGCTCCCCGTCAAGCACTACACACACTGCACTCGCGATTCGGCGGCACGGCGGCACGGCGGCACGGCGGCACCCAAGGCGGCGACCCGATTCTAGGCGCTGGACAACACGATGACGTTTGTGGCGGGGCGAGCGGCACGGCCGTGCTCGCGACACGAACGCCGCGCGGACACTGACTGAGCCCCAACTCCCAGCCCAACAGCAGCCAGCTCAGCCAGCGGCCGTGCTGCGCAGTGCTGCGCCGTGCCCAGCCCGGGCCGTGCCTTGCCATTAAACCCGTTTCCCCCGCCCCCTCCCCGTCCCTCGCCCGGCGTGTGGTACCTCCGTGGACTCCGTGGTACCCGCGGCGCGGCGCGGAGCGGCGTGCCCCCACCTCCTCCACCTCCTCCAGCGTGCCTGGCTGCCTGGCCCGGCGTGCCTTCGTTGCGTGTCCATGCTCCCCTCTCCTCTCTCCAGTTCGCCCACCTTCTGCTGCCCAAGCTCGCTCTGTCCTTGTTCAGCCCGTCCGTCCGCCCGACCCGCGTCGTCGCGGCCCACTGAGTTTTCTGCCTCCCCCTTCCCCTCCCCTCCTCCACCTGCAGCGCGGCGCGGCAAGGAAGGCAAGGCGCCCTGGCCGCGGCGTCCAGGCCTGGCGATGCGCTCCAAGTCCAAGCGCCACACAGCGCGCGGTCACTGCCTGCTCCCAGAGGCCCTCGGGGTCCCAGCCAGGCGCGGATACAGGGAGGGGGGGGGAGGGGAGGGGAGGGGAGGGGGAGAGAGATGGCAGAATTTAGGCACCATGCCCGACCATGCCCTTGCAAGTAGGCAAATTTTGCTACTCCTGAATCTCTTTTTGGATCCGCCACTGGTATTAGGAGACGGTTCGCGAGAGTCGCCGTCGTCTCTCAGTCTCTCTCGCTCTCATGGGATGTATCGCAAGCGTGCGAGAGAGACGACGACAAAAATGACTCTCGGAATCAGCCTGCAGCAGAGCGAATCCCTGGACTCGCGCCTGCAGTGCGGCCCAGGTAGCGGCATCCTGGAAAAATTATTTCAAAGGGATCGATCAAAAGGGGCCTCAGGAGGATCAAAAGAGGCCTGTGTAGCGGTCCGGCTGCTGTCCCGCCCATGCGACTCGAAAAATGGGGGAAGAGGCGGTTTGTGTTTGTTCGTTCGGGCAAGCGCTTCAATTGAAATTCCCCAGGAAGCATTAAATCCCGTAAAAATTTCCTCCAAATCTACGTGAAGTGCCTCTTGAAAAGTGTCAACCAGATGATCATTCAAAAAGAGAGAAAAGGAATCCAACTCATCCTGTCTCTGCTCTCAAATTGTCAGGACGGTGGAACTTTGAGACTTGTGGGAGTTTTCCCCTCCTATTCAGCCTGCCAGCCCGTTGAGTGTTCGGGACAGCTCTGCGGCGGAAGCAAACTTTTGGCGCCCTTCTGGTGGCGGTGGCTCCATCGTTCGTCAGTTGTTCAACCGGATGTGGCTATTCGCAGAACCGCCTGTGTCTAAGCGTTATCCGCAGTATAGACAGACGTCGTTATTCGCAGCTAGTCACGTCGTCCGTCCGTCTTCGTCGTTCACCACAACAAACAATTTATCGGGCGATTGCATCATAGATCGTTGGCAAACCCGAAGCGACCCGAACCGGTGGGTGTACGAAAGCTGTTGGTATCTTATCTTGCGACGTAGTTGGGAACATGACTCACGATGAATCTCACGCCCTGTCAGACTGAGTTGATGCGGTGCAGTTGAGGCTCTCCGGCGACATGGACAACATGATCCTCAACGGCGCTGTGCTCCCGTCGCTCTCGGCCATGAGTTTCGGGCCTCAGTCCTTCGCCAGCGAGGCCAACTCCTTCGTGGTCCTGGAACGCGAGACTGCCGAGGGGACGCAGCCAGGGCAGGCCGCGCAGCCACCGCAGCCCCTGTCTGGAGCTAGCCTCAACGGCAACCTTGTGGATGCACCAGTGTCCAACCATTTCGGTGCCCCTTCATACTTACCCAATGGCGTGCGAGAGGTGAGTCACTGGCGCTATTTGCATAGTCCTTTCAATGAATTTCAATGCCGCATAATGGTAATAATGCTTTGTGTCTGTCAGCCTCAGTCCTTCTCGTCTCAGCTTTCGGACGGGTCACCCAGCTTGCCTGGCAACGTTCAGCAGAGAATGGATTCCCTCATTCAGGAAAACATACATCTCCAAGGTATTAACATAGCTGTCATTCAACTTCGCTCTTTCAAAAGATTCAAATTCAATTATTTGTTGTGTTCATTTCAGTCACTGTGGATCAAACAAATTTGTCTTTGCGCCAAATGATGGCCACTCTTTCACAGTGGAGAGTTGATGTAGAGAAGGTGCGACAGGAGCATAAGGAAAAGTTTCAAGAAACTCGTGCCCTCGTTATGAATGTTAGTATTGTCTTTGAAATCGACTCAGACTTTGATGTATCTCTTTCAATTCAGACCTGTGATTTTATTTAACTTGGCTCATTCCGTTTTTTGCAGTTGAAAAAGGAGAAATCAGAAATGCGAGCTTTCATTGAAGAACTTCAAAGTAAATTGGAGGAATATCAAACCAGAGAAGCAGCATCTTCTTTTATGACAGTGGTATGTTTTTGTCTTTTGACAAGTGGACACTTGAGGTATTTTGATATAGAACTAATTTTGTTTGTTATTCAATTCAGGAACCAACTGTAAGTGAAATGGAATTGAAGTCCACAGTAGCTGATCTACAGTCCAAACTAAACATAGTTGATGCAGCATATCAAGCAGAACAAGAAAAAGCTAAAAACTATGAAGAAGAAATTGACCTAATGAAAAAGGAGATGAGTCTGATGAAAGATCAAATCCAGCACTATGAACACCTGCAAAAGGATATGGAAAAGAAATCTGCTAATAGTGAGGAGATACAAAACTTGCGAGAAGAGAATAAGCGGCTAATTCTTAGCATTGAAAATCTGAATTCTGTGGTAAGATGCTTTTCAGTAGTAATTCTTTCAAGCAAGTTCTGTCTGTTATATCTTTTAACCTTTGGTTTTTGTTTGATTGGTGAAGGAGCGCCACTCACAAGATTATCAAGCTGCTCAAACCAAAGGATTCACAAACAAACTCGACGAACTTACAGCCAAGTTGATTAGAACTGATGAGGAACTCCAGAGGGCTCGAGCTGAAATTGACCGCTTCAAATCAAATGTTAGTATAGTGTCAAGTTTGTGGTAAACTCCTTAAATCTTTTACAATACATAGTATTAATTTGTTATGTATTTTCTGTTGAAGGAGGGTACATCAAAGGAGGAAGCCTTGACAAATGTAAGCTTTGTTTTTCTTTTATTTTTAAATCAGTAACAATTCCCAAGGACCTGGTATTAAAATCCCTGGGTGTGAAAATTAAATTAAATTACTTGACTTTCACACAGGCTCTAGCAACTGTGGACCGTCTGCGATCTCGTATTGATGAAATGACTGCCAACATTGTGGAGTTGGATCAGAAGTGTGAAAGGCAAACCCAGGATATAACTGCACTGCAGGATGAAAAGAATAGGCTCAATGAAGCTGTTGGAATTTTGCAAGCACAGGTTTGTTCAAGAAAAATGTTTAAATAAGTAAAAATACTCTCAAACTTTAATTTTTTGTTTTCCTTGACAATCGCAGGTTGAAGTTTATCAATCAGATTTCATAGCTGAGCGAGATTGTAGAGAAGCTTTGGCGGGTGAGAAAGAGCAATTAGCCGAGGATTTGAGGCGGCTGCACCGTCACAACCAGGAATTACGACAAAATTTAGCAGACAGAGGGTAAGGTGGAGTTTTCTCTGTAAATGCTTCTTCAATAATTTTTTTTTTGTTTTAATGCAGAATGCAGTCTTCTAGGGGTAGCAGAAAACTTAATGAGATTTTGCCCTATTTCTGTCTTACATCTTTATTTTTGTATTACAGTGAAAACACTTCTTCTGCTGCTGCTGGACCTGCTAATAGGAATGGGGCCCAAGCTGGAGCATCTGCACCCCCTGTTACACAACAGCCTGCAGAAGAAGCACAACCTGCTAATTCTATGTACAGATGTGTTATTTGTAATGTCTTGACATTTAGGACACTTCAAGCACTGAATGAACACATTGATCACTGTTTAGAAAATGCTCCTGAATCATAAGTTTTAGATAATTTATTTTTTTGTTGTGCCTCAATGAAAAGTATTTTACCTTGATCATCTTTCTCATATAAGTGCTTGTTCCTAATTTAGTCTTAATTTAGTTGCATAATCATAATCATCTCTACAAGGGTAAATATAAAAGTGGCTGTGTATTATAAAGGTAGCTTACCTGGGAGCAAGCAGACTTGTGATTTTTGGTTGACCAGTACTCTGAAGATAGAAGTATTTGAAGTTCAACCTGTTGCTTTATTTTTGGTGTTTGTTTGTGCATTGTGCCATACTTATTAGATCAAGATTCACTTGAAGAATTTTCTTTATTTTGAGCTTTTACCAGGAAACAAAATTTCTTATTAATTTTGATGTACACTATTGTTCAATATGAAGCTTTATGTGTAATAAACTGTTTGCCTAGTATATTTTTTTAAAAGATTGTTAAGATCCAAATCCAACCAAAACCCAAAATAGACTACACCAGCTTTTCAAATGATCCTGAAATTCATGCGTTCATAACTTTTCACATTTGATCCTCTGAATATAGATCTAAAATAATAATGTTTAATTTAAGCAATCTGGATTGAAAAGAAAACCATGTCAATGGCTTAAAAACAAAAAAATAATTAAAAAAAAATAATTGAGGGCTCTGCCCTTAAGTGAACGTTTATCACTGCCTCATTCGGTCGCGGGAATCGATGCCAAGGGTCGCTACCAAGACGTAATTGGCCGGGCTCGAAGCGAGAGGGAGAAAGGGAGAGATACAGATGATGAAGGTTTCACCTGGTTGGTTCGAGCGGGCTCACAGTAAATGTCTTACGGTGAAAGGCTGCACCAACACAATATGGAGATTTTCTCCATAATACCAACGAAATTCGTCAAAATCTCTATAAGGTACAGTGGATTCTCAATGGTATGTCACGAAGTCAGCTGCACCACCATAATATGGAACATTTTCACCACATGGAGAATCTTCACTGTAGAACATTTAGAGTGCTGCTCGGGTCCCAAAGGAACAGACTCGAGCCCAAGCCAATCAGTGGCGTGCGCAGAAATTTTGGAGGCGGGGGGGTGTCAGCAGGCTATGCTTTGTGCCTACCTTCCAGGCGTCTACCCCCCCCCCCCCCCACCACACACACACACACTGAAGCCAATCAGGGGGCCTATTCCAAGTGACACTGGCTACACCTGGTAGCGAGTACCTTGAGATTCGAAACCGGCTGTTGACGTGAGGTTCGGGCCTCTTCGTCAGGTCCCTGTCGAGACAACCCTTTCCACTCCCCACGCGCTGCCTTATCCTTCTCATCGGGTCGTTATGAACACCAATTTTCAGCGCCCAACAGTCGTCATCCTCCCCCCCTCCCCCTTCCTCCTTTCTTCCCACTTCCGTTCCCACTCCGTCGCCTTCTTTCGCGCGGCCCGGCATGTTGTCCCGAGGAATCAATTTAGCCCCGATGTCGTACAAGTATTTGGGTCCCCCACCCCTGCAGCGCCTCGTTGGCGAATAGCTCTCTCTGCCCCCTTCCCCCCCCCCCCCCCCCCCCCCCCCGCCTCGCTCCCTGCCGCTGGCGGCTGTGTCCCTCTCCAATTCCTTCGTTTAAACCCATTCCTTAACTCGTCCTAATACACAAATACCAATGTCAGGCCGGAGCGCCCCCTCCCCCCCCCTCCCCGCCTCTTCCCTTCTCCCGTAATTATCATGAAAACGTCTTCGGATCTCTATTGCGGGATCGTGACAGCAGCTTTCGCTCGCTGCGTTTTTCCCTCTTAATGCAATCTGCCTTATTTTCTTCGCGGGTTTCGACCCCCTCGCCCCCGAGACCGCGCGTCGGCTCCCGGCCGGACTTTGTGTCCTCGCGCTCCAGTTTAAAATAAACATTTATTCTCGGTCCCCGTCCGGCTCAAAAATTCCCGACGGAGAATGTGGTCGTTGGCACTGCGTGGCCGGCAGACTGATTCCGAGAGTCGTTTACGTCGCTCTGTCCCTCTCGCACTCACGGGGCGTCCCCTTGAGGTGCGAGAGAGAGACCGAGCGACGGAAACGACTCTCGGAATCAGTCTGCTGGACGACTACTGGACCGGGGGTGGGTGGAGTGGAGCCGAGTCCCTCCGAGCGCCGCTAAGTTTCTCATTCTCGCGTCATTAGTGCGCCGGGAATCGCTACTTGATCCGTGATCGTCATTTGAGGCGACGCCAACGGCTCGTTCCGGACCGCCATCAGAACCCCCAGTTATCGGCGACCCCTCCTCCCCCACCCCTCCCTCTCCCCCACCCCTCCCTTCGCGCGGAGCCCTGACGGCCCTGACGGCCCTGACGGCGCCCCGGCCGGCCCCGGCCCACAGACTGCATTGTTCCATTGCTTATTGGAATCCGCACATCGTCAAGTCACGAAGCCGCCCGAAGACCGCATCAACTACATTGTCAAAAACGAGGTACAAGTGCGTCGCGCGGGAAAAAAAAGGGGGGCGCACAGTGGATTTGCCAGCAGACCGGTCTGGGCGGGGCATTATACTCTCGTGACCATTGACTCCCAGGAGTACACCATCCCTAGGGATAGTGTACTCCCCTACCTCGAGAGGGGGGGAGTACATTGACCCTAGGGATAGTGTACTCTCGGGGTACACTATCCCTAGGGTCAATGTACTCCCCCCCTCTCGAGGTAGGGAGTACACTATCCCTAGGGATGGTGTACTCTCCCTAAGGGGGCTTACACTGTCCCTAGGATGGTGTACTCCCCCGGGGGTAACACCATCCCTAGGGCCAATGTACTCCCCCCACTAGCAGGGGAGTACTTGGTCCCTAGGGATATTGTACTCCCCTACCAGCATGGGAGTACATGTTCTCCCCTTCCAAGAGAAGAGTAGGCTCAAGAGTAGGTTAAGATCTGACGCGAGTTGAGTAAGATCTGTCAGCGTCAAACAGCGTGGCTGTGCCAGCGTCAAACAGCGAGGCTGTGCCACCTCAAACAGCGAGGCTGTGCCAGCGTCAAACAGCGAGGCTGTGCCAGCGTCAACAGCGAAGCTGTGCCAGCGTCAAACAGCGAAGGCTGTGCCAGCGTCAAACAGCGAGGCTGTGCCAGCGTCAAACAGCGAGGCTGTGCCAGCCTCACACAGCGAGGCCTGTGCCACGTCAACAGCGAGGCTGTGCCAGCCTCAAACAGCGAGGCTGTGCTAGCGTCAAACAGCGAGGCTGTGCCAGCCTCACACAGCGAGGCTGTGCCAGCGTCAAACAGCGAGGCTGTGCCAGCGTCAAACAGCGGGCTGTGCCAGCGGTCAACACGAGGCTGTGCCAGCGTCAAACAGCGAGGCTGTGCCAGCGTCAAACAGCGAGGCTGTGCCAGCGTCAAACAGCGAGGCTGTGCCAGCCTCAACAGCGAGGCTGTGCCAGCGTCAACAGCGAGGCTGTGCCAGCGTCAAACAGCGAGGGCTGTGCCAGCGTCAAACAGCGAGGCTGTGCCAGCCTCACACAGCGAGCTGTGCCAGCGTCAAACAGCGAGGCTGTGCCAGCGTCAACAGCGAGGCTGTGCCAGCGTCAACAGCGAGGCTGTGGCCAGCGCTCAAACAGCCGGCTGTGCCAGCCTCAACACAGCGAGGCTGTGCCAAGCGTCAAACAGCGAGGCCTGTCCAGCGTCAAACAGCGAGGCTGTGCCAGCGTCAAACAGCGAGGCTGTGCCAGCTTCACACAGCGAGGCTGTGCCACGTCAACAGCGGGCTGTGCCAGCGTCAAACAGCGAGGCGTGCCAGCGTCAAACAGCGAGGCTGTGCCAGCGTCAAACAGCGAGGCTGTGCCAGCCTCAAACCGAGGCTGTGCCAGCGTCAAACAGCGAGGCTGTGCCAGCCTCACACAGCGAGGCTGTGCAGCGTCAAACAGCGAGGCTGTGCCAGCCTCCCAACAGCGAGGCTGTGCCAGCGTGAAACAGCGAGGCTGTGCCAGCGTAACACGCGAGGAAACAGCGAGGCTGTGCCAGCGTCACAACAGCGAGGCTGTGCCAGCGTCAACAGCGAGGCTGTGCCAGCGTCCAACAGCGAGGCTGTGCAGCGTCAAACAGCGAGGCTGTGCCAGCCTCAACGCGAGGCTGTGCCAGCGTCAAACAGCGAGGCTGTGCCAGCGTCAAACAGCGAGGCTGTGCCAGCCTCAAACAGCGAGGCTGTGCCAGCGTCAAACAGCGAGGCTGTGCCAGCGTCAACAGCGAGGCTGTGCCAGCCTCAACAGCGAGGCTGTGCCAGCGTCAAACAGCGAAGCTGTGCCAGCGTCAAACAGCGAGGCTGTGCCATCGTCACAGCGAGGCGTGCCAGCGTCAAACAGCGAGGCTTGCCAGCTCAACAGCGAGGCTGTGCCCGCCCAAACAGCGAGGCTGTGCCAGCCTCAACAGCGAGGCTGTGCCGCCTCAACAGCAGGCTGTGCCAGCGCAAACAGCGAGGCTGTGCCAGCGTCAAACAGCGAGGCTGTGCCAGCGTCAAACAGCGAGGCTGTGCCAGCTCAAACAGCGAGGCTGTGCCAGCCCAACAGCGAGGCTGTGCCAGCTCAAACAG